GATTATAAGTGTATAGAACGATTATATACAATTTGAATTTGTATAAAATGAGAAAGATAAAGATAAAAGAGACTTGGACAGGAAATACACAATTGAATCGAATTGTATAAAACGAGAAAGAGAGAAATTAGATACAATTTGAGTTTGTATAAAACGAGAAAGAGAAAAATTAGATACAGTTTGAATTTGTATAAAACGAGAAAAAGAGAAAGGCAAAAGAAACTAGGCAGGGGAGTATTTTTATTGTATAATTATAAGTGTATAGGACGAAAATATATGTACTTGCATGTGTATATACAATTTTCTCACGCTTTATACAATCAGAAACGCAATTTATACATTTCGTTTTTGTTTGTATAAGTGAGAAAGACGAGGGTTGCGAGCGAGATCTGGAAGAGGGGAGAAAGAGGAACAAAAATATATCTATTTATACAATTTTCTCTGCTTTATATAAATAGAAACAATTTTTATACACTTGTGTTTGTATAAAAAGTTAGAAAGCGAGCGATAGATTGGAGCGAGAATGAGAAAGTGGCGACCGAGATTTTTGAGAGAGAGGCGACTGACAAATTTTGACAAACGTTTGCTATGAAGTACAATTAAATCAAACCCTAACTATTTCATTTATTTTAGGTTATTAGTTTGCTATTATATACAATTATCCCTTTTATTATGCTATAGGTAAAAAAAACCCACATCAAACCCAAGTGCCCCATTTAGCCTTTTTATAACATGAATATCAACATATAATACAAAAAATATATACATAAAATATCTAGTTTTATTGAGAAATCACGCTTTTTTTTTGCACGTCACTGATTTAAGCTAATTAAGCTCTACTACACGTTATGTCTATCACTATTTAATTAAAAGATTATAGCATGAGAACCACCGAAAGAAAGTTCAAACTTGAGGTCATGTGAGCAACGTAACTTACCCTCTAGTAATTTATTTTTCTTGTTGCATATGGTAGACGTCCTCCATTTATACATTTTTTGGTGGTGAGATATATAAATATATTTATATATTGTAAGAGAGCTTGATTATGATATCATGGTCTAGCTAGTGGAACTGAAAAAATTAAATTATTGAATCAAAATTACCTAATTCCAGAGGTCAAGCTGTATATATACGAAAATAAATTCACATCTATCGCAACTATTTATGCAATCCCATTTATAAAAAGCCGCAATTAAATATTTGTAAAAAGCAATACGTATAGACTATAGTATAAAATTTTAAGCAGAAAAAGGGGAGAAGAATCAAGGTGATTTTTCTTAATGTAATTTATCCGTTTTCAATTTTAATAAATTAATGAAATAATTGTACGTAATTAGTATTATGTGTGGAATCGAATAAATCATAAAAAAGAATGTCAACTTTAAAGAATTTTGGAGATGAAAGGCAATAGGGGACTCATTGAAGAAAAGTAGATATTAGCACAACTGTAATGTCATTAGGTGACCCAACACTTCATCAAATAAAAGACTACTAAACCAATAATATATAGTATTATTATATACTCCTAATCTATCTAAATTATGAAACAAATTAGCATAGTAATACTTCGATTTTGGCAACTCTTGCAAATCTTAACCACTAATCATAATTAACCAATTGTTGCATGAAGGCTATTTCTTTCACATACCCTATAGTTTATAAGTGTATCAGGCTCACCATATCTAATGACATATATAGCTCGCCGTTAATCTTCCCTTTTTCCATTTGCGATAGATAAATCAATAATGTATTAATTTAAAATAATTAAACTTATATACACAAGAGAGAGTATTGTTCGACGTAAATAAATATATTTGTTATAAGATAATTAACTATAATTGATAAGTGAATTAAAATATATTTACATATAATTTTAAGGGATAATGCACAAGTACTCCTCAATCTATGCTCGAAATTTCAGAGACACATTTATACTATACTAAGATCTTATTACCCACTGAACTTATTTTGTTAATAATTTTCTACACCTTTTCGTCACACTATCTTGTGACCGCCCAAAAAGGTAGAAAATTAATTATAAAATAAGTTCAGGGTAATAAAACCTTAGTATATTATAAGTGTGTCTCTGAAATTTTTGGCATAGATTGAGTTCCCTAATTTAAACAAACTCTATAAGGATGAGATTTATAAAACTTATTTTCGTTGAGGTAAATATAGTATGAATCTAAAACAAAACTTTATAGTTGTTTTTTTAAAAACAAATAAACACCTCATTGCTAGTGAGAGGACAACTTAACAACTGGTCCTAAATTAGTAATATTTAAATTATAACGAAACTAATAATAGCATAAGTTGAGAGTTCATACCTAATTAATTCGTCCCATACAGAAGAAAAATACAATTATATATACACTATATGTTCCATTATTTTTGCAAAAAATAAATAAAATAAATTATTAAATAGAAGATTTGATGTGATATTCTGCCGGTACCTAATTTGATAAACGAATTTGTTACACGTGCAATGACCCAATTTCATCAATTATTCACATACACTCCCTCCAACCTATGAAATGATTTTAATTTAAATTAAATTAAACAAGTGGACATAATGTCCAATGTGAGGTGTACAAGGACCACTTAATAAATATTTTAAGAATTAATTAGAGTTAATATTATATATTCTTCTATCATAAAATTAGTATATTTTCTCACATTTACTAGTTAGTTTGCATAAACTTATACATGAATTTTACGATCAATATTTTATATGCACATAATATATGAGTAAAATATATCCGAAGGTTAGTTATACTAATTAATGCATATATAAATAACATATATCATTATATAAGTTATATTATAAATTAACACATAAAATTTTTCCCTAATTTTATATATATATTAATTGTGAACTAATACAGTTTAATTGGTGCAAGATATATGTATGTAACTTTAATGACGTTGATCCACATTAATTAGATAGCTTACTCTTCTTTGGACGGTTTGTTCATTTTCTCTCTCTCTTCTTTTTTTTAAAAAAAAGTAGATATATGTTTTCTTTAACTTTATTCTTTTGCAAGATTAATATTCAAATTTCAGTAAAAAATAAAAATGTAAAATGTAGTTGATTTTTCTTCTTCAATTGCTTAAGTTTTAATGTGCTATATTTATTCGATATCTATACTAGTAAGAAATAACAAATACATAATAATAATTATCACTTTTAGTTGGTTGATCTAAACATCACCGTTATAAATAATAAAAGTTGATTGACTATTACTAACATCTCAAGTGACCACTATTGCATGATTCCATAATTCATTACATAATAATTTATTTAACATTGAGGGGCTAACCTAAAGTAATTGTGATTATGGCATTATATGTAATGATATTATTCGAAATATAGGAATAAATTATTAGCATGTTCAAGAACATGATGTTTAATTTATTAATTAATCCTGCTCTCATTCCTTTATTTATCATAATCCTTTAATTTTGTCCAAGAATTCATAGATGTAACTTAGGTTTAAACGGATTATACATATTTTTAAATTTACTTGGATTCTTAAAGAATATTGACAATAACTAAGATTGATCTAACACTCTTTTCCAATCCCATCTTTGAACCCAAAGGTAACACTAGTTAAAGAGCGGTAACGCAAGTAGACATATTTTGGGAGTTGATTTCTCGTACGATTTAATGGTTATTTTTTATTTTTTTGTTCTTTACTTTAGAGAGCGAATTATAAATATGATTCAATTTCAGATCGTTTAAACATAATGGATGATATGGAGCTCGAGAATCGACGTGTATTTAAGTCGTAGAAGCTAACAATAGTTGATATACTTATATTAACGATGTTATTATAGTCGTGATAAAAAAAAGTAGTACCAAACATGCCCCTAGAAGGATAAGAAAACTAGTCAAAGTTGTACGTATCTTCGGTGAAAAATTAAGTGTGTATATATTAGATAATTTTTCTGTATTTCCGTAGATAACTCTCTCAAATGAAAAGAGAAATAAATAGCACAGTAACAAGTCCCTTAATATTAAGTTGTACATCAATGTTTGAATCCTTGTGAAAGTATTTTTATCTTTTTTTTGTCTTAGTTATATTTTTTTTTACTTTAAAAAATATGCTAAAAGTATGATTTCAAATCTAAAAAAATTAAAAATTTTCATTTCTAAAAATTTATTTACACGTTTATACTATTATTTTTCAAATTTCCTAAACAAAATTATAAGTCAACCACTAATCAAAGCTAAGCCATACTAAAGTGTCATAAAAAGTATGTTAAGTAGAATGACAAAAGAGAGGCAGCTCTCCTGTCAAGAAATGTAGTTGGGGGATGAGAAGGTCACCAAACTACTAAATACATCCATCATTTTTTATTTTATTTTTTTGGGTTTCTAATTTCTTCATGTTCGAAATTTATACAAGAGCTTTAATTAAATTTAGATCATAAATTATATTAGAGTTTTAATTAAATTTAGATCATGCATTATAGAATTCATTTAAGAGTGACACTCCTAATATAATTTTTTTAAACCTAAAACTCGAATTCAAGATCTTTAATTAAGGGTGAAACAAATCTCATTATTGCACCATAACTTATACATCCTAATCCCTTTGTCCCTAATTTTTTGTCCACTTTTGAATTGATACATCTATTAAGAAAATAATTATTGACATAGTGAGTTAACTATTTAACCCATATTAATTATAAAGTGGATGAATTAAAAACTTCAGATTTTAAAAAAAATCAATCTTTTATTAAATAATTAATTGAGGATATAATAAGTAATTTTTTTTTAATTTATCAAAATAAACAGGTAATTAAGAACAAATTAAAAAAGAAAAAATAGCAAATAATTAGAGAGAAGGAGTATCATCTTATCTATTTTCCAACTTAATTGTTGCACTATTAATTAATATTCCAATTTCCAACACCAGATTAACCCTTAACTTACCCTTAAACTACCAAATAAATCTGTTCCTAAATTTGTCTTAAAACTTATCCAAAAATCCCCAATAAATAATAAGGCCCTTCCAAGCATCATTCTTGTGGTTTCTGCTTGACTTGTTAAACCTTAACACCAAGAATCTTGCATTTATTATCTCAATTCACATTTTTCTCATTCTTGGTATAAATAATGCCAGTAATTCCATCAACTCAAAAATTAAACTGGATCACTCTTTTTTTAGCCATCTTTCTCTTTCTCTCTGTCTCCATTTCCAGCATATAATCAAAATCTCTTCACACTTTTTCATTACAGTATTTGATTCTTTATTCTCCAATGCTCTCTTTCTTTTTTATATATACTGAAAGTAAGTAACTTTTTCCTTCCCTACAAGCAAAGTTGTTCACTTTTCTTGATTCCTTCATTTTCTTGATTTTTGGGTTTGTGGGTTTCTGTGTTGTTTTCGAGATCCGTTCTCTAAATGGGGTTTATTCCAAATAGTTTTACTAACTCTGTGGAGCCTCTTCACAGTTCATACCCTTTAAAGACTCAAGCTTTAGCCACTGATACAGATAACCATTGTGGAAATGAAGAGTTAAAAATCAAGTCTTTAATATACAGAATGATTTGGGATTTTGGGTTGGCTTGTTTTGTTCCGACCCGTCGCCGGCGAGCTTCCGGCGAGGATAACGGTGAGAAGGATGAAGGTGTTAGCAGTTTGGAGCATAATAAGGCTTGGTTGCTTGCTGAGTCAGGAGCATGTGGTACTGAGTTGATTAATGCGGAGCCACATTCGGTTCATTCCTCTTTTAGGTTTAGTTTTTGCTCTCAGGTTGAGCTTGAGTCTATGAATGTTAATAAATGTTCTTCTGCCACTGTTTTGATGGTGAATTTGGATAACGGGTTAACTGATCCCCTGTCTAGAGAGCTAAAATGGAGGAAAATTCAATCACTTGAGAGGAGTATTTCTCCTGTGACTCATTCTTTAATTAGGTTTACCTATCCTGAGATTGCTTCTGCTACTAGGAATTTTTCAAAAGGTATTCAATTGTTTATTTCAATTTCTTAAGTTTTTTCACTTTCTCCTGTTTGAAAGAGAAATTTGTGTCCGAGGATCAATTGAAAACAACCTCTCTACCTCCCAAGGCAGGGGTAAGGTTTGTGTTTACTCTACCCTTATTGGACCCCACTTGTGGAATTATATTGGGTGTGTTGTTGTTGAAAGAGATATTCATGTGATGTTGATTGCTTTTCTTGAATTGATTAGGTAGAGTTTTGGGAAGAGGAGCATTGAGCTATGTTTTCAGAGGAAGAGTTGGATTTATGAGGACTACTGTTGCGATTAAGCGGTTAGATAGGGAAGACAAGGAGTCTCCAAAGGCATTTTGTAGGGAGTTAATGATTGCTAGTTCTCTTCACAACCCATACATTGTTCCTCTGGTGGGTTTTTGTATTGATCCAGAGGAGGGTTTCTTTTTGGTATACAAGTATGTATCTGGTGGAAGTTTAGAGCGGTATTTACATGGTGAGAATACTTGGTTCCCTTTTGTTCTTAATAAGGTCATTATTATTTCAGTTTTTCTTTGGTACTAATTTAGATAGAATTTCATTCACAGATAAGAAGAAGAGGGGAGTGAAGGGTGGTCCAGTACTTCCATGGTCTACGCGGTATAAGGTGGCTGTAGGCATTGCTGATTCAATCGGGTACTTGCATTATGGCACTGAGAGGTGTGTTGTTCACAGGGACATCAAACCCTCCAACATTCTTCTCTCATCCAAAAAGACGCCCAAGGTAATGAAAGGAACATTCATATTTAACAGCTCAAATTGGTTATTCACGCATATCTGCTAGTGAACAGGTTGTTGTTTGATAGATTCTGTGTTTTAATCCTTTCCTTAATATATGCAGTTGTGTGACTTTGGTTTAGCTACATGGACTCCTGCACCTTCTGTACCTTTCCTTTGTAAAACAGTTAAAGGAACCTTTGGGTATATTTTCTATCTTGACACTCTTGAATAGGCTTGGCTATGAATTAAAACCTTACTTTGCTTGACGATAAAGAACATCCTAATATTTCAATCTTTGAATTGCATATGCAGCTATTTAGCTCCTGAATATTTTCAGCATGGTAAAGTGTCCGATAAAACCGATGTTTATGCCTTTGGAGTTGTCCTCCTGGAGCTGCTAACTGGAAGGAAGCCAATTGAAGCAAAAAGAGGACCAGGAGAAGAGAACTTAGTGTTGTGGGTAGGTTCTTGCTTTAATTTATGCCTAGCTGTGATCATATCTCCTTTATTTGTGATAATTATATCAGTTTTGCTATAGTGATTGGTAATTGTTAATGCAAGCCTACGTATTACCTGGCATAACCTATGCCAAAGTTGCTACATAGTTATAAATTTCACCAATCAGAACTTTTTTGACATAGCTAGTGATGTGTGAGTAAATTATTCAGGCCAGTGAGTTTCCTTCCTTCTATTTGGTTTTAAATGGTCGCCTTCACCCTTGCTTATGTTTAAACCTTTATATTCTAAATGGTCACTGCCACATAGGATCTTTATTCCTTGTCGATCGACTGTTTAAGGCCTCTCTGCATCAAAATTTGGCAGCATTGGGACCATTTGCTATCCTTGGTGCTATTACCATGATTTGACTGCTTAACCAGTTAGATCATATATTGTTCTTTTTGACAAGAATTGGAAATTATATTCGTCTTCTCTGCTTTTTTCAGGCAAAGCCACTGCTGCAGCAAGGATCTCTTGAAAAGTTTCTTGATCCAAGACTCAAATTCCCTCAAAAGAACCTACAACAAATAGCTCGGATGACTCAAGCAGCAGCTGCATGTATACACACTGAAGAGTCTCGAAGGTCCAACATGGATGAGATCACTGCCATATTGAGAGGCACAGAAGTTCGTTCCTTGACGAGGAAGAAGTCTATTTCCAGTAATAATTGTGTGATTGATCCCCAATTGCAGCGGACAAAGAGTGAAATGAATAGTCACTTAGCATTGGCAATGTTAGGAGTACCTGACTTTGAAGATGATGATTTTTATTGTCGTTAAATATGAAGACGATTAATTTGATTATTTTTTTCTCCTTGTTCTTTTTCCCCCACCTCCATTCTAAGATTCTAGGGTGACAACTGATAAGCTCTTTAACATGTAGATAGAAAAGTGGTGATCTGATTGAAGAATAGGCTGTTTGTATATATATTTTGTCCCTGATTTTGGTGGGGAAATATGAATAGTTTCTCTTTTGTGAGATAACATAAAGAACTTTGTGAATTGTTTTCTGGCATGATCTTACTTCTTTCCTTGATTGTAAGTTCAGACTCCCTCTGGTTATCTAAATGCATTGTGTTTCGTTCTTTTTCTTCCCTTTTTAATTGGATAACCGCGGTGATCGCCTCTACCTGGTAGTTTGTATCTCCCACTGGTGTAAAGACTTTTTTTTCGTTTTTTTCACCTTGGGTCTAATATCTCATTGCAGCTTGGCTAAATCTGAATTTGTTCCGAAAAGTCTGGGGTAACTAATAACTGTTGCCATATTTCTCAACGTTAAATTAAGTGTGAGCAGTTGATGACAATCTACAGTAGGCCACCAAATTAATAGTAAATTCTGTTTGTTTAAAAGGTATGATGACCTTCATAAACTTTCTTGTTGAATACAACTCTTTTTGGATTTCTAAAAACTTTTAGGAAATTGACAACATATTCTCTATTTTTTTCTCTCTATTGATGGTACGTTTAATCTCTTTCTTTATTAACAAAACTGAAGTTAATCAATCTGTTTCAGGTTAGGTATTTAAGAAAAGATAGGAAGATTAGTACACCAATAAACCTTGAAATTATTTGAGATTGCTGATTATGATATAATGACAGCTAAAACTCTCTCACATAGGACCCCAAATAATGAAAATTATCTATTTATAATGCAAGGCAGACAAATTTGTAGTTCAATGTTGTTGAGCCTAGTTGCCTAAATGTATAAATTTTATTTAAACCAAACAACTTAGAACCAACCAAATAATTAATAAACCAAAAGAAGAGATATTATACCTACAATCCACGTCAACAATAATGTAAGGAATAAGACGTTGCAGTTTAACTAAATTTTAATTAATTTTTTTTTAACGAAAAAAAGAAGAAAGAAGGAAAAACCAACACATGTTTGAAAGTGACACATATATCAAAATTATATGTTAGAGTCGATGATTTCAAAATGAGTATGATTTTATTATATGTATACATTTTAAACATATGTTGCATTCGTATACATAGTTCGAGCTGAAAGCAATGGATTCAGTTTGAACCTGCAAAAACCACCTAAAATCGGTTTCTAATGGTTAAGTTTGTGCATCAAGAAAGCTAGAATACTTTAGCAACATCCTTGATCAAACCTCTATTGGCTCGAGCAAATTCTTCGAATTCTTTAAAAGAAATGAAGCCATCCCCATCAGTATCAAGTTCAGCCATCATATACTGGACTTCTTCAGAGGTTACAGAGCCTAGCATCTTCAAGGCCTCTCCAAGTTCTGCTGAAGAAATTTGCCCATCACCATTTAAATCAAAACGCTTGAAGACTAGTTCGCGATCGGCTACGTCTTGTGGATCTTCAGCCATTCTTTGATTTCTTCTTTGCCTTTTTCTTTTGCGATGGTTATAATGTAGGCAAAGTTGGTCTGAGTTTTTGTTTTTGGCAACTTAATTAGATCCGCAAAATGAGTTACCATTTGGTTTATAAAGAGGTATTATTACTAGTTTGTTTGGCCATCCTTAGCCTTAGGACTCGGGCTTTGTGAAAAAACTTCTTGAGGTTTCATGGTCTTAACAAAATATTTGCAACAACCAATCTGTTTACACTTTGTGGAAGGAAATAAATGTTGACTCCCAAAACAAACACTGACAACATTTTGACACCTTTCAAAATTGTGCGCAGTTGGGAAAACGCCGTTGACAGACATAAACACTTCAAATTGAGAATGAGTGAATGACTGAATCAAACCAATGCATTACCCAAAAGAATTGAACATTGATCTTGAATAAATACATGTGCTTAATAATGTGGGTTATGAACTACCACATATTTATCAGAAATTATTCTCGATTATTGGCTAATGTGGTTATACAATATTCTTTTACCCTACAAGAACTATGCAAGGAGCACATGGAGATCTTTTTGCAAGTGCATTTAAATGGCAACCGATTAATAGGTCGGATGGATATTATGCAACTGACTTGAGCAAGGCGTTCAACACTACTTCTTTTGTAGGCAAAGCTGGAATTGCTCCTCTCTCCATCACGGTCAATGCACCACAGGCATTAGCAAAACTAAGGGCATCTCGAAGCTTGCCCTCATCCTAAAGAAATCAGATTCAGAATTAGCATTTAAGGGATCTGTGCTTTGACTTTAAAGTATAAAGAAAGTTCAACACCAAATGGAAAGACAGGTTGATGTTTGAGAGTAAGGAAATGGGTCTTGGGCTTTAACTCAACCCCAAAAGCTAGCTCATGAGAGGAGGATTGCCTAAGTCCATATCAGTATACCACTCATATCATTAACCACCGATATGAGACTTTTCAATCTTACATTGAGAATTCAAATTAATTGGTTCAGCACCTTCAGTTTTTGTTTCAGAAGTAGCTACAGCAAGAGAACAAGGATGCGACATTGTCTTAGTAGTGGTCTTAGCTTCATCAAAGATGACAGTTGTTAAACTTGTGATCTTTCAGCTGCCTTATATCACTGGATTGCATATGTGAGTGACATTATCTAGGGTATTAACTATAAGAGGTTTCAATGACACAGTAAAATATAGTCACTACAAGTAAATCACATAGGTCCTTTAATGTACTTATACTGAAGATACACACCTAGTGAACAAACTATAGACAGTGTCAATTTTTCTTTGCTCATTAGATAACATGACATGAGAAACCATCTACACAATGAGAAATGTAAAGTGGTAGCCAACAGAATGCAGGATAATGGAACATTAAAACTACAGAACATAATTCGCTTTAATACAAAAGGCATTAAGGCAATACCTGAAGCAGAGAGACATCAGATGCTAGCTGTGACAATATTCCGGCTACAAAAGCATCTCCAGCACCTGTGGTGTCCACAGCGTCCACCTTTATACCCTTAACTCGTCCACTGAAATCCTATTTTTCATGATTCAAAGCAACATCAGAGAACTCTTTTCTTTTTACCTTTCATATATAGTGGTATCTGGCAAATCTGGGTATGCAACATCAGCTTAAATTCTAGTATTCCTAATCAGACAACCTCTAATTAGCTTTTCAAGAAAATAGAAGAAACAGTAGTCATTCTGTTTCCTGATCATGTATCACAAAAGAAAACCGAATAAAGAATCTTCTAAAATAAACTTCAGAGAGCAAGGGACTTTTTTTTGATGAAGAGAGAGCAAGGGATTATTATCAGTAATATTTTTACAGGTATAACAGAGCAATTGATTAAGTCCTTCTGTGATGAATCTATATTGATTCTAGATTAATAAAGCAACAAGCCAATCAACTCTAACATAGATAATCATATACTTGTTCAGCTAGGGATCGACTGGTTAAAAAGGCAAAGCATCCATGCGCACAAATCTTGGTAACCCAACAGCAGATTGTATATTTAATAAATGTTGAAATAGTCTAAGAAGTTATGAAAGATGAATTTTACATCTGAAGACATAAAGGAACAAATACAGAGATTTCTCAACTACATGATAAAGAATTACCACATCATTTGCTTAAGCACATCAATTGTGTAGAGTGGGATGCAGTAACAATTACAGTTTGTCTAGAAGAACAAACAGGCATGCAGCAGAGTTGAATAATATTTATAACGCTGAGTTTTACCACATCTTAGAAGCTCACCTTGGTGTAATATCGGCAACCTTCTGGACCTTCTGTGACGAGGAGTAACTTGAGGTTTGGATGGTACAACTTACGGACAACATTATCATCATAAGGATCTTCTCCTTGTGTCAAAAACGAAATCTCTTCTTCACTTATCTGTTGATAACAAGCAGCTGAAACATCATAGGTAACATTGCATATGAAAATTCAGACTCTCCAGACCGACTCTCTTGCAAGATAAAATATATTTCCATTAACAAGTAGTAAAATTTTACATTGGACATTTGCAACAAAGTACCTTAATTATATCAGCAGTATTCCATATGCTAAGGATTCCTTCTCTAGCACTTTCTGCAGATGGCCACAATGGAAGCCTCAAATTGGGATCATAGGATAAGATCACACCAGCATCCTTTGCAGCTTTTGCAGCTGCAATATGGGCTGATTTGCATGGCTCCGTAATCAGACTTATGGAACCATAATGAAAAACTTTTGCCTGTCATACGGAATAGGAATCATTGGGTATCACTATCAAATTGACCATCTAAGTATAATTTACTAGTAAGAGTCCACACCAAAAACAGCAGAAGAAATGTTAAGTATCATGATCAAACTGTTGCAATAAGGAAAACAACATTGTATAGAAGTATTGTTAAGGTTTGGCGGACTACTAGAATAACATGCTTTCCAGAAAGCATACAAAATGCTCATACATTCTCAAATCAGATGGTCTTTAAAAATCTGAAGATTTGGATTGGAAGGTACTCTTGAACCAAATCATGAACTGCATAAGGTTTTTAATATATTCAATAGTCATATAAATAAGTAACTTACTCTTAGCAGAAGTAACAAAGAGGATGAACACAGAAGGTCTTATGACTGGAGGTATCTCATGAAAAACCATAACCAATTTCAGTTTCAAATTATGATCCTATATTTTGCTCTTCTCGTCCCTCTTTATTCTTTTGCTATAATGAAACTATGAACTACTACTTATATCTCAAGGATAAAAGAACCTCATTACCTTCCTGATCAACTCTAAATCAAGTTCATCCTCTTGAAGCAACATATCAGCACTTGGGTTACGATAGAACATAAATTCACGTTCTCCATCCTTTCTCAGTGTTACAAATGCTAAAGCAGTGCGAGCACCTGGATCAAATCGCATACCATCACTGTTGACATTGTTCTCCTTCAAAATCTCAGCAAGCATGTAACCAAATTCGTCTTCACCAACCTGATTGGATTACAAATTATAAGTACATATCATAAAATGCTTAAATATTTGAAAAGGCCTATGCTTTTGTAATTTATAACATCTTCACATATTCGTTTTGACGACCCATCTTCACGTACTCTTTTTGATAGATTATTTTCATTCACATAATCTCAAGTCAATCAAATTTTGTGGAATATGATTCTTCAACAGCCAATCAAATTATCAAAAACCTCCTG